GAATTTCCCAAATCTGCACTCCATCCTACTTTATGCAAGACATGAAGGAAATGATGTTATACAATGGAAATAATATTTTCTCATTAGTGGCTACCTGCCACTATTTTTTCTGATAGAATGCACAAATATCCAAAGAACATTGTATTTTCACTCCTTGTCCTAGTAGAATACACTGGACAACTGGAAATACACACGCACTCACACACAAACACATCACACCACACTCACCTCATGCCATGGCATATAATTTTAGAATTGTCAGTGTTAAAACACCTCTATGCACTTCTAATTTAACATCCACATATCCACAAAAATCTGCCAGCTTATGTTTTGGAATAAAATGTATATATTTATGTACTGTAGACATTGGCTTCTAGAAGACCAATATTTTCTTAATTTTGGCAATACAGAACAAGTAACAGCTTTAGAGCAAAGTCCTTTACTATCTGAGAAAACCACGGTGCTATAATTTTCAGGAATCCTGTTTAATTTACTCTCTCTGCAGGGTCAATTTGCTGTAAGGGTTAAATTCAAAACTATAAACAGTCATTAATATACAAAACAACCATAGTAATTAACCGGATATTAAGAAAAAAAATCACATCTGTTTTAGAGCTCTGTTCCATCCGCAAATTTGGGACCTCAATCCCAAGGACCAAGTTTTATGGCATGCCTTTAAGCTAGGAACACCAGGTTACAATCAAGGAAAAGAAGGTAAGACTTCTCACAAGTAGACTCTCACTGAAGTATCCTGTCCCCAGGATCCTCTTTCTTTAATTCAAAAGCAGTCAGTAGAATTGGATTCTGTATTGTCTTGAAAGATAAGTTATCTATTGCTATTTGAACATTAATATTTATACTATTCTGGCACAAAAAGATGAAGAAAGGAAACAAATTTACAGGCTGTTTATTTGGTAGTACTTTAAAAAATACTGAGCCTCACAAGCACAAGGTCCCGAGTTCGATCCCTGGTATCAAAAAAAAAAAAATCCTGAGATTTTTGTGACTTCTCAATATATACAGAATTTGAAGCTTGCAGAGAATTTGATTTTTTCTAATTTAATCCTATTTTTAAAACTCCAAAATGTTTCAGAGTATCTTAAATAACCAACTTGTAATAAATTGATTAGCCAGAAAACAACTATAACTTTTCTAACTTTTTGAAAACACGTATTTCTGGGCATCAGTGAAATCTCTTCCTACCATAGTAAGCCTAAAGAAGTACAACTAAAATAATAGTCATCAACAGTGGTTTTAGAGGGAATATTTCAACATAATCACATGTGTCAAATATTCATTCTTCAGATTCTTATGCTGTGGGTTATAAGAAAGTTTCATTTCTTGGGAATGATTGAACATAAGCTGCTTGGGGTCCTGCCATCTGTGAATTACTTACATGTGAACACTGTTGAGGAGATGGAAATTTTGATTGTTTTTTTTCTCCCCCTTAGATTTTGGACTGAAACGCGACTGAACATGGCTTTTCTTAGCAATTATTTTTTATATAGGTTGCTACATGGCTACATTATTACACGCTCCCCATCTTCATCATCACTTATTGAGTCATAGGAAGCAAGGACAGTGTTGCTGAAGCTATAGAGGAGGCAACCAGTAGAATACAGAGCCAGAAAGACAAAAAAGATCCTGGTTTCTGAGTCCATGCTCGCTGGGCTTGGGTCTTTGGCACACAGAGCCAGCTCTGCTTTGTGCTTCCAGGTCAGAGTTGGGGTCATTGGGCTCCTATGACTCCCTGGAAAGGTTGCCTCTCTTATCCCCGAGCAAAAAATGAAAGCAACTATATGGGTGCTTATAGGAAACTACATAATTATTATCCATGCAGGGATGCCTCTGAGAGGTAGTGGGAACACTAGTAATAATTATCCCAGAGGAATAGGCATGAACCAAGACTGCTCTAGGTGAACTTCATTGTGCTTTCACCCAAGATGATTTGGAGCTCAAAGATCTTCCCCCACGGGTCTCAAAGTATTGCATTCATGCTATGTCCCATTTCACTTCTGTCCAGAGCTGTACTATCAACAGAAATTGAAATAAGAGGTAATTCCAAATTTTCTAAAAGTCATGTTAAGAAAAAATAAAACGAAACAAGTAAAAATAACCTAATAATATATTTTATTTAACCCACTATGCAAAATATATTGCCATTTGAGGAGATAATCAACATTAATGAGATCTTTTACATTATTTTTTCTTACTGTAGTCTTTGAAATCTGGTGTGGATCTCACACTTGAAAGGCATTTTAATTCATATCAGACACATTTCAAGTGTTCATTGACCATGTGCAGTTTGTGGTTATGATATTGGACGATGTAGTTACAAGGAGGCCACAAGTTTGAATATGCAGAAATACATGAATAAAATTATAATACACACATTTTGTATTTTTCTTCTAGGTTAAAAAAGACAGCCCTTGGCTTATTTACTGAGTTTGCCTGTCTGTTCCCTGGGGTGACCCAGTTCTTGAAGCAGATAAGCATTTACCTAGTAGATTCTTTGGGGAGAATAGACAGGATGGCTGAATTGGATTAGTTATAAATTATCAGGCTGTGAACCTCTAGGACTTTTCCTAGACTTATATGTGTCCTGCATTCCTAAGTGCAAAACACATTCACTCAGCATCTTTCATGTACTTGGCACTAGATACAGAAAGATTAATAAGGCACAATGTATGCAGTTAGAGATATATATCTTGATGAGATTACATGGTAGTTGTTATAATAATAGATAGCATGATCTATTGCTAGTATGTAGTTAAAGGGATAACCATTATTTATATAGCACTGATTATGTACCTCTGAACGTGAAGCCTTACAGTATTCATGAAATATATTTTACAGTTGAGGCCAGGGAAGTCCAAGACACGCTTCTATCCCATGGCAAGGCAAGGATCAGGCTCTACTCTTGGGTTTCAGATCTTGTCTTCTTTATGCACAGAGAACAGATGAGAACAGGAGGAAATCAGTGTTTTCCTTGTTATTGTTTTTTCTTTCTTTCTTTTTTTTGTTTTTGGTACTGGGGATCAAAATCGGGTCCTTGAGCTTGCAAGGTGAAACCACTGAGCTAAATCCCCGGGCCTTCCTTGTTATTGTTGACAGTGTAGGGACTTGGTCCATGTTTGGTAACTTGTGTAATAGTGAAGCACAAGGATTTGGGGTGCCAGAATTTCTTCTGGAATTAGGATATGTATTTTTGCTAGTAATAATGTATCTTCCTGCCTCACATCCCAATGTGGAACTCACTAATGTTGTATTGTGGTGAAGCTCTGAAACCTATGAGAAAGATAGCTGCTCTAATTTCCTCTTATAGAAAGCAATAATGGTATCATTTGACTTGGTCTAAGCACTAAGCCTGAATGATAGAAACATAGAAATCAATCTTGATGGATTATTTGCTTGCAGACATTGGAAACACTCTAATTTTAGGGTATATACCTCATAAAAATACACACTAAATTATTCTTTTTTAAGTTGTCCTATTATTAATATAGTTCTCTCTCCCCAATCAGATATATTAAAGCTTAACATTGTCTCAATCAGTGCATGTTGAAAAAGAAAACAGTAGAAACAAAGTCTATGTAAATAGGGAAGGGTGTAGGGGGTGAAGGGTACACAGGTAATGGGGAAAAAATAAGAACCAAGATACATCATGTACAGGTACAAGCACCCAATGATAAATGTAAACGTACTGTATACCTAAAATGTACCAATAAAAGAATTTAAGCAAAAAACCCCCATATCTTATCATATACAACATTGGCTTTGGTTGTATTCATCACAGATATTAGACATATGATTGTTATTAGAGTTCCATGAAATATATGCACTTAAAAGGATAGTAAGATAACATGACATATTAAAATACATTAAAGGGACGTTGTATCTTTAAGGAAAGAAATATGCCAAGATATCACCACAAATTATTAGTCCATACCCAGTGATGTGGTATAGCAACTCCTACCTCATATATACTGACACAGGTTCTTGCTAAGAAAATTATATACAAAACTAGGAGAATTTGTTTAACTCACTCAGCATCCTGATAAACCTATAAAATGTTGATTTTTTCCTTCAGGTGCTATAGATAATGAGACTTAAAATTGGAAGGTGACTTGCATTTAGACTTCTAATATGGTTGTGTTATTAAAGCCCAACTATTGAAATCATATAACCAAAACCTAACTCTCCAGCTATTTGGATGGGTGAAACACCATGACAGCTCTTTAAGACAACTGAGGATTTATCAGAAATATAGTCTTTACCCTAACAGTTGTAAGTAGAGCAATTATATCTGGCTTATAACTTAATTTTTCTTCAATCTGAATGCTGACTTTTACAAACCCATTACCAGCACCATATATCCATACCATTGGGAGCCTGAAACTCCACAACCATTCAGAATGTTATGAATGAAAAGCACTGGGTTAACACACCAAAAAATACACTAACTATATCCTTGCATATTATGAAGCAGGAGGAAGAGGAATGTGTAAGAGCTCAGAGTGCTGGTTCATGCTGGTTCATGCTGGTTCAAAGCAGTCTTTGGATAAGACTACTTGAGTTCAATTCCTGGCTCTGTCACCTCTCAGCTATATGGCCTTAAACAAATTACTTATCTTCCTCTGCCTCAATTTCTTATCAATAAATGGATATAAAACAAACTACCTTGATGTGAAAGTTTATATGGCAAATGAATTCACTTAAAACAGGGTTTGGCACATAATCAGTGCTATTATAAATAATGGTTATTCCTTTAATTATATACTAGCAATAGATCTGTTATCTATTATTACAAACTACTGCTATGTAATCTTATCAAGATATATCTCTCCACCTGATTATTAATTTACTCAAGCCCAACTATAACTACTACTACACATCTTGTCAAGATATAGGTGTCTATCTAATTAGCAGTTCACCCAAAGTCCTGTCCATAGGTAAGGTCTTTGAACTTTCACGGCAAGTGCCACCAGCAGGATACCTACTGAAACAACAGGTCTCATACTCTGGCCATCCAGGTGTGAAGCTCTAGGCTGGGCATCAGCAGGTGGCCCGGGGGCTGGATCACTGCTTCTCCTCACCAGCAGTGGAGTGCCTACAACACAAAGTAAGAAGTGAGAGGCCACAGGGCCCTGGGGGGAGAGAGGACATGACACAATGCATTTTAATTTAAAAGGTTTACACCATGCTTTATGGAAGAACATTCTATTTGTAAGGATGCTTGTGAATTAATTCATTTAACAGTCTTTCATCATCTATATGTAGATGGATATAAACAAAATTTGTTCAAATTGTGTCTTTCCCCACTTACATTTAAAATAAGCCATTGCTTTTAACAGAAATTGCTAGGCTATGCAAAAGAACAGCAGACAATCTATAGAGTGATCTAGAAAATATATGGAAATATTTAAAAAAAGAATGATTATCCAGAAGATGAATAAAAAGGTTCACAGAGCCAGTGTAATTTGCTGTTCTGTAGAAGAACCAGAAGTATAGTTATTACTGCCATTTGGTTCTTTCCAAATGATGATACAGACTGAAATAAATTATTTGCTGGGGTTATAGCATTAATGTCTATTTAAGTACACAAAGAGATTAGTTTCATTCTCTTCCCTTTCTCATAAAGTATATAAAACTGATAAAGAAAATAAGTTAGCTCTTCTAAAAATATATCCTGATTTCCTTTTAATTTAATAAAAGCTTCCATTATTAAATATTTGAGTCAGTTATTAAATTCTGAAAAAAAAGATCATAGTATTAGAAAGTTCAAATGAAATTCAACCTTAGCAGAGCTAGTGGTCTAACTACTCTGACTGCAATTAGGTTTAAAATAATGTTTCATACCAAATTGGCCACTACAGAGAAAAAAAAATCTCAAAAAAATCTGCTTATGGTTTAAAAATCACTCTCACATAAAAATTAACTTTTTATACTTGTGCTTTTGGGAAAAGTATTGAAAACAGTTAAAATGCAATTTCCCATTTATCAGTATTCTGAAAATTATTCCCCAACTCTCTCAAGCTATTGCATTTTAAAGGAACATTTTTCATCCACATTTGAGTTATTTACAAAGCTTATTTTATATATTCCTTAACAATTTTATTTTGGACAAAACCAAATTGTTAAAATGCTTCAGCCTTTTGTAGATAGGAGTTGCTTTCCTAAAAAAGGTCTTCTGTAATAAAGAATTAACATGTTACTTGAGATTCAGAAACCATGATAAAAGGTATTACAAAGTCCAAGTTCACATCCCTTATTTCTTTTGTTTTTCATTAATTAGGCCTATCACTATGTTTTCTTCACCCTTCCATCTCCATTTTCAAATTTCTGAAGCAAATAACTTACCAATATTTAGATGGCTGGCAGTTTTTTCATGAATGAAACTTTATTTAAAAAACAGGAAGAACCAAAACAAAAAGAAGTACAATACAATTCTATCTCACATCAAAACTTTTTCCATTTTTCAACTGATAGGACTATTAAACTCCTTTCTGATTAAGCTCCTGAACTACCAGTAACATAAAATGAAGAAGTCAGTCTAATACAACATGTAATCTTTAAGGAAATACAGTGAATTCCATGAAATTCTGGCTTATTTCCAAGCATTTTCCAGATCAGGAAAGGACAAGTCAACAATCTCAAATTGAGAGGAAACAACCAGAAACCAAGGAAGGTCCTTATGGATCATTAAGGCCCTTCCTTTCTCAAAAATGTTGATTTAGAGGCACAGAAATGGAAAAGGAAGTGACCAACAATTTTAGTTATGTGTTTTCAGCTAAGTCATGTACCTATATACCAGAAAGTGTGTGTGTAACATGATTATTGGGGGGGGTGTCATAAATATACCTTTAAGCTATAGTACATAGTTTTCCTTCAACTGTTAAGGGAGACTTGTCATATTGTCTGTATTTCCTGTTTCAGTGACAGGATGTTAAATTATTTAAGACATATTTTTAAAGTAACATGTATTCGGGTTTGTGTATGTAATCAGAATGCCATAATACTATAGTGTGTCTCCCAACATATAGTTCATTTTCACACCAATGTATCAACTATTTAGAACATTTAAAAAATTACTTGGTATCCCATTCATATGTACAATTTTCACAGTTTAATGTATCAGTAAAAATAAATTAAATTAATAATAAATACAAAAAAACTCCAAAACCAACCAAACTTTCTGATGGTTAGATCTCTCTTGAACATACTCTCTGCTCATCAAGAAAAAGTTTGCCTTTCTGTACTTTTTATTCTTTTACTCCGCATTTGAAAGGCTCCTGTTGAGTCACCTTCTAATTTTTCTTTGGCTGTCTTAACGTGTTAATAACAAGTGCAAATCAGTCCATATTGGAATTAATAATGAGCATCTTTAAATATGAACTGCTATCTCAGAGAGCTTTAAACCACCATTTCCTGAATTATTTTTTTCAACTGTCATCCCCCATTTAAAAGTAGCTCTCAGGAAGAGACCAAGTTATAATTTAAGGACAAAGACAGATATGTCCTAATGTACAACAGGCAAGCAATAAGAAGTAGTGAAGATGAAATCTTAGATATACAGTGGAGAAGAAGTCACGTTGCTGAAGTAAAGCTAACAGAAATAAGGAGATAAGCTCATGGACTTTTATCATAAACCCTGCTATGGTGGTGCTGGTGAGGGTGAAAAAGAACCTCTATATGAAGAATTTTATAACTTACCCATAGAAAATAGATATCACCAAAATAACACTACTAACTGTCCTGTATCAATACAATGGACAGATTAATAGAATCAATAGACTAAGTTTTACCCTCTTTGGCTCTGTGATCCTGGGGTTGGGCTGCTCTGGGACAGTCTAACTTCTTCAAACCCAGTGACAATGACACATTACAGAGCTAAGAGGAAATGGTCACAAAATAAAGCACACATAGGACTTGTACTGTCCATTATAAAATTTTCAGGCCTGAAATCTATGCTCCATCCCATCACAAAAGAAACAGTGCTTAGGGCTGGGGATTTAGCTCACTGCTTCCACCGCCTGCCTCGCAAGCCAAGGACCTGAGTTCGATCCCCGGTACCGAAAAAGAAAGAAAGAAAGAAAGAAAGAAAGAAAGAAAGAAAGAAAGAAAGAAAGAAAGAAAGAAAGAAACAGTGCTTGCTATTTATTGTGAATAGTGTTATCTGCTGATATAGCTGAACTTCTGAAAAATCAAATTAATTTTCATGGGATAATATGCAAATGGAAATAGTAAAATCTAATTTTGTGCTAAACTAGATATAACCTTACACTGGAAGTCAAAGTTCTTAAGAAGAAAAAAAATGGGGGAAAAAGGAATTCAAATATGGTAAAAATTGAAATCCATTAGTATTATTTAGCTAATTGGGAAAAGACTTAAATTTTAGAGGCAAAAAGCATTTATTTCAGACCAAGGAACAAGAGCATTCTTTGGAATCACAGTTTACAAGCCACTGGAGACAAAACCCAAATAAAATAAGGAGTATTAGGTGCTTTAAAGCACAAAGTCCTGTATAACCACAAGATGCTTTCCACACAGTTAAATATTTGAAGCTCTACTATGTAGTAGGACATATATGGGGGCTGGCAATGATACTAAGATGAGAAGTTGTTGTGCTCACTCTTGGCTAATCTGTAAGAAGGGGAAATGTGGGCAAAAGGAAATTTTGGTACATTTCAGTACAACATAAAGGTAAGTAAATAGTACAAATAGGTAATGCACTGGTAATGGGAGAACCGATATGGATGAATATCCACACCATAGACTGTGTCATTTTACTTAGCCATATACACTGAACTCCAAGGGAAACCAAAGAGCTACTTGGAGCAGGAGAAGAGTGTTTGATTTGGTATGTAGCTGCTGGTGACTGTGTCCTCACAAGAGTGGGTCTTGCTATATGAAACTCCATTCCTTCTATACTACCATCCATGTTTTGGATAGCTGAGGGCTAAGACCACACTCCAGGAAAACTTACACACTTACTCACTGAATATGCCTTGAGGAAGACAGATAGATTTGTCAAGTCCTTCCAGGCTTTGAGCCAATTAGCACTGGTCTAGCCACACCCTCAGGAAGAACAAGAGGAGTTAGCTCCTAAGTGTCTAGTAACCACAGTGAATCTTCTAGTTCTCAAGCAATCATCATTTTAATGATGGCAATACTGGTATTCAAACTGGTACAATTACTCATCCATTGTTACCTTTAAATGTCATGTAGACAGCTCAAAGAATGGTAGGCTAATCCAATATGAGGAAAGAATTTTGAAAGACAGCAATTAACTTTTTCCATCACACCCCTCATAGCTAATTTATTTATTTTCTTAACTGTTATTAGTATATGTTTGCAGTACAAAATGATTACATTCATTGTGGAGAATTGGTACATGTACATAACACATCTCAATTTTTTACCTTCTCGTCAGCAATCAAAGGTTCGAATCAGTACACTGATGGGTCATGCAAGATATAAAAGAGAAATGTGAGGTGTTTTCCACATAAACATGTTTCTGTCTGTTACATACAGACACATACACACACAACTGGGTCATTTCTTTTTCCACATTTGAAGGATGTGTTTGGGTGTAGCTGGCTTAACGGACAGATGATATTGTTTAATATTAAGTTTGGGGGCTTTGAGTGTCATGGAGATTGAAACTAAAGTGCTGTGATGGAGACTGAAACTAAAGTGCTGAAGAATCATAACATATGATGATGCTGGTGGCAGAAAAAATAAACAATGGTTTTAAACATGAGCCCCACATCAAAAGTCACAAAAGATACATGTTGTAAATTGTACAATGAGTAGCAGAGAGGTTTATTTATTTAAAGATAATGATCCTTCTGAGCAAAATCAGAAGGCCAGCTTTTCATCCCAGTATTAGTACCATTTAATCGCAGGATGGTCACAGGAAAAGCACTGACGTGATATTCTCTAAAAACTAGGTGCTTTTGGTGCAGCGAGGCTGGGAGGGCAGTGTCAAGATGGTGGACAGGGTGTCTGCAGTCATGAGCAGAAATGGAGAGAGAAGCTAGAGGAGGCTATGGGAGGATTTAACAAATGACTAACAGCATGCCAACAAGAAGCAGCATAAGACAGACA